GACGTCGCGACACGGCACGGAGTCCGGCGGGCTGCCCTGGCTCAGCAAGCATGGACAGAGGTCCCACGACACTGGTGTGCGTGTGTGGCTCGTTAGGCAGCAGGTCACTGCTGCCAGAGACGTCTCCCCACCTGCTGGAAGAGTTCTTTACAGGAGTAAGGGGAAAAGCGGATTAAAATATCCCTCCATCAAACAAATGTCCACATGTCACCTTGACATGAACTCACCCAAGGGGATCTCCCCCAATCAACCACGCATTTCATCAGATAGCATCCGAGATGAAATAATGGCTCTACAGTGATTTAGGTAAAAATAGGGTTACCCCCAGGCCATTGGCGGCTGACCAGCTTTCTCCTGCGCTTGTTCGCCTCCCACAAGTCCTCTTTGGTGAAATCTCTTGCCCACATTTCAACGGGGCCATTTGTTTTCTTGCGGTTGGGTTTTACAGAGTTCTTTATATATTCCGAAGATGATCTTTTGTCACATATGTGATTTGTAAGTATTTTCTCCCAGCCTGTGACATTTGTCAACTGCAAATTGACACCATGACACTGTTTGTGTGTGTGTGTGTGTTTTTAAATGAACAGACTCTCTTTAGAAGCTCACAATGTTAACCAACATAAAGGGCCCAGAGTCGGCCAACTCTGTGGCAAAGATATAGGGAACCCCGAAACAGTGGGTCTCACAGGACATGAAACGGGGCCTTCGCGTCACGCCGACAATTGAAAGGGGCAAAAAGAGAAAAGTAGCCAGTTACCATTAGTGACCAAATGCACACAACATAAATGTTCTGGGGAGAAGGTAATTTAAGAACGATCCCACTGACCTCGGGAAACAAACCTCTAGCAAGCACAGAACTACCGGACACATGTCTAACCAAGCCATTTCCCGCTACAGGAGCACACGCGGCCGGGCGAGACGGACCAAAGCCATTCGCTTTGTGCATGGGTTTCAGAGCATGCGCGCAATTCAAGTGGCGGTTTTAGAATGAGTGAGCCCAACACACAGGCTATGCATTTCACAGTTGGTTTTTAACCACTTGGAAAGTAGTATGTTAATAAATTATCATCATCATGCGTGTTTTGCACAAGATGAGAGCACATTACATGGAGGAGACAACGAACGTTAACACCTCTGGATGGACACAGACAAAGCACGGCAGCCCACGCCCCTCGGGAATCACGAGAAGACGTGCGCAGGGTCTCCCGCTCAGTTGCTGCCCGAGCGGCTGGCTCAGCAACGGAAGACGGAGGAAGGGCAGAGCGACCCCTGCCAAGGGGCCCTTGCACACAGCACGGGACCGAGCCCACGGTCTCCACTGCAGAAACTCACCAGCCACCAGAGCCCATGCCACATGTGGATCCTCGTAAAGGAAAACGCTCCATGGGAGCCACTCTGCTCGGCACGCAAAGGGAAAACCAGCAACTTCAATGCATCATCCCAAACGAACACAAGTTATTGCTTCTCTAACAGCCACGTTGTTCTAGGAGGGCTCTTGCTACAGGACATCATCGCAGGCCGGGGCTCCGCGCACCCTGGGGACCGGTGCTCACAGGCCTGGCCTGCGTCCCCGCCGGGAGTGCTCACTCACTTGCCCCGCTCGGGCTGCAGGCTGTCCACCAGGCACTTGAGCTGCTCCTCGCCGAGGTGTATCTTGTCCTCCAGCTCCCGCTGCTCGATGATGAGGGCCGACTTCATCTTTACGAAGTACTCGTAGTCTGCCAGGCTCTCGTCGCTCAGGTAGCTGGCCAGGATGTCAAACACCACGCGCTCCCGGCGGTCCAGGTTCTCCTTCAGCTCCTTGGCGTCCTCGTGCTGCTGAATGAGGACCCGCTGCTTCTCAAGCAGTGATTGCTGGAGAGAGGGACGGGGATCGGGGGAGGGGA